TTTATTTTAACAAAACTATTATAATGTCATTTATGAATCAAATAGATATCATCATCATTGACAAACAAAAAGTAGCGAAGAAACTACTACCAAAACGTACGAACAAAATAACATACATAAATAAACAAAACCAAGATAAGAGAGCCTAGTGCTAATTTGGGCAGTAGGCAACTTAATTCCGCCTACTCCTGATAAACAATACTGCTTTCCCATACAATTAATTTGGGTAATGGAGGTCTAAATCCCCGTGACCCGCCTAATTTAATTCCAAAGGTTTTGTATTTTCATGTAAATTTTGGTATACACCCAGAAAGACCAATTAATTATATTGGATTCTCAAGTACAAGTATAATTTAACTTGATTATCAGTGAACAAGATATGTAAGTAGTAATAGACTAAATAGTAAAGGGAACCAAGATCCAGTATAGGATATTTTCAGCAAGGGGTAAGAAAACAGGATCATAAAAGAACTGGACAAAGAAACTGCAACTATATTTCAAGATTAACCAGTTAAACATCACCTTTTGAGTCTTTAATTTCTTTAATAACCCTACTTTGGGATCACTCCTACACCAACACAGTTATTTTATTTTATTTTTTTTTAGTATTTTCTTCAGCAGTATCCTAAAGCCATCATCCATACCAAGACAGTTTTTGGTTTCTTTTAATTTTCTAATACAGTTTTCTAATACAGTGTGTGATTGTCATTGGATATCAAGAGAACCAACCCTTGAACTATGCCCGTCTTGCAAAGTCCTTAGCTGTTCAGAAAAACCATGAAAAATAGAGTACAGGATGGAGAGGTGGCACCAGAAAAATCAAATCTAATGCCTAGATCATGAGAAATGTGACAATTTGCAATAAATACATTTCATTTCACTCCAAATAAAGAATATAATACTCTTAGTTCTAATATTTGTTTTCTAAAATATAGGCCAACTATACAAGCCATAATCCTTCATAGTAGTTCACTTTATGCATTATATCAGTATAATAAAATCTTCAATGATACATGCCTCATTCAACCTTGCACTTCACCACTAAACTGGACTTTGTTCTCTTCCAAACTAAAAAAAACGTAAAAGAAACTACCAACTTTATCAGAACTTAAATGGGATATAAAAATGCATGTTGTGTTGCATTTAAACCCATGTTTTTCTTTAAGTTTTTCTTTTTCCACACAAAATGCAGTTAGAGAAACTGACAGAAGCCCAATTTCTTTTTCCACACAAAATGCAAGGATCCTCTTCCTGTAAGCTTCTTTGGCTGGAGAGCATGGTGTTGGGCTTTCTTTTCTTACCATCCCACCGTTGAGCATGTAATGTGCAAAATCAAAATCCATTGCAGATCGGTTGGGAATAAACCTATCCAGCTGCCATCCCAAAAGAACAAGATTAGTGTGAATTTCCAATAAAACCTATATATATATATATAAAAAGGCAAAATGACAGGAAAAAATCAGCCATAGAGTTTAAAACCCAGGAGCAAGATTAGTGTGAAGCCTATTGCGATGACAAAAGAAGGCAGGCAAAGATATTAAAAAAAAAATTAAATAAATAAAGAGAGTATATTTTGAAATGTAATATTTTCTTTATATGGAACACAAAAACAAAACCTGAAACTATCGTTACTGTCTTCTACAACTATTTTGGTTCCTTTCGAGTAAAAATTCTTTGTAATCCAAGACAATAGGACATATGATAATATTACATTATTATCTATTTTCCTCACTTAGAAACCTAACAACTGGAGAAATGAAAATGCTTACCGGTTCACCTTATAGCCTGTTGGCTTATGGTTTGAATTATAAACCCACTGGTCAAGGTTCGAGACTGGTATATATAGAGAGGAAGCTATATGAGAAGTCACAGATGTTAGATTGTGAATCTTTTGGTCATTCAACCCAATCTTGCTCTTCTAAGCCCACTACTAAGCATACACAAAAATGGAGAATGAAGGAGGACGGCTAGACCTAATTCGAATTAGTGGGAGGAAGTTATAAGGGGAAAAGGGAGAAGTGTTGTGGATCCCCCCAATGAGGAATTGTGAAAGGAAAGCCCAAAAATGGCTATACCTATTGCTTCATTATCAAATATATTTGAATTCACTTCTTCTATTTGATGTGTCTTTGATCACAATCTCATTGCACCTCTCTCAAGAGATTATGGGACCTATTGATTATTTAAACTTTATTGGGTCTATTTCTCTGAATAAAGAAAGAACTACGTAAATCCAAATTTATACAAATAGAAACAAAAACATATTGAGTGTGTTTTCCCTGAATCTTCATGTTGAATCCCATGGAAATCCAAACCATCCAAAAAATTATCTAATGATGTCAAAAATTCTAGTCGTGCAGAATCTATACAAGTTGAACAAATAAACCCTAAATTCCTGAAAACTCATATTCGTAGACAATAAACCATCCAAATATGCTAAAGAAACCCTTACGTGAAAAAAAATCAAAATCCAAGAAATTAATGGGTCCAAGAAATTAATGGGAACATCAACCACAAAAATCTAAAGATATTGCAAACAACACTAGATATCGTCTAAAAAAAAGAAACATTCAAATAGTAGACGAAGAAACCGTAGTTCACAGTAAATCCAAAAGTCCAACAAATTCACGAAGACAAACAAAAGAAAGAAAATCAAAAGGAATTCGATACAAAAGCTAAAAGAATTTAAACTTTTCTCATTTTCTTGAATTCATTGCAACGAAACAGAAAGCCGAAAATATCAATTGGTTGGCGAACATACATAAACACACACAAGCAGATGGAAACACATACTTTTTCGCACAAATTTTGCCTTCGAAGTTTCTGATCGGAGAGAGGGAATCGCGACATTTTTGTGTCCAATTCCTGAATCCAAAATTGATGTTTTAGGAACAGCATATATATATATATATATATAGGGATTAAAATTGTATAAAAATAGAGTAGAAATCCTAGCAAAACGATGAACAAGACTAGAGAGAGAGAGAGAGAGAGCAAGAGAGCGTTGATGAATGAGTTGGGTTTAAGAGAAAATTAGCAAAACCTCTACATATCAACATGTACGAAGAACGTGAGAACTTGCATTAACTCATTAAACAACATATCAACAACTTCTCCTCCACAACAATCAATCAAAACCTCCACATACGATGATCCCATACTCCCATGCTTTCAACATTTTAAAACAAGAAAAAAAAAAATGGGCTCCACATGGGCCGATGTAGCAATAAGGTAATAAAGTTCATGATACACCATAAAATTGGTCACTTAAAGGCATGTGACCCCCCCGAGTATGAGTATAAAAAGCATTACAAATGTGCAATCATAAAAGATTTTTATCGAACATAAAGACCATATAACTTACAAATTTGATGTACTTGATAGCCATGCAATCGACGCTCCCGTTGTTATCTCTTCCCAGCCCCTAGCGGGAAGACTACATTTGAAGTACATGCAAATCAATTAAACAAAATATAACACCAAAATATTGTACAAGTGGAGATGGTTAAATGAAAAAACTCAAAAATAAGGGACATATGAGCAAACAACTTTTTTATTAGGCGCTAGTAACCAAAAGCAAGACTCTAAACAAAATAAATAAATAAATGGGGTAACAGTAGTCAACTAAGATTATAGCAAAATCCTTTTTATTATTGTTTATTTATTTTTTTATTCTATCAAACATGATTGGACAATTTGGACAACAAAAAATCAGAAGGAAGCCCAAAAATCTATTTGAAACAATTTTTCCCAGAAATACATACTTCACTTTGAAAAATCAATAAAAAAGAAATTCTCAAACAATTTGCATGAAACCAAGTCCATTGGAAGCTTAAACACACAATTTTTCTTCTATCAATTTAAATCAATAAATTTTCTTACCGATTAAATAAGGTTTGAAGGAAGAGATAGGAAGAATTCTGCTTACAAAACAAGGATCACAGCATGTTAAGATTAACTTCAAAAATCCATACTAATTTCAAAATCCAATCAATTTGAGCCAAAACAAAAACCTGTAAACTCATTAATAATAACTGATATCACATAATTTGAAGTGATTATTGTCAATTATGCTCGTGAGTTTGAAACGTATTCGTTCACGTGATCTTTTGGACATTTAATAGAGAAACAAACAAGTCTTTTTCTTTGTCATTGTATAAAAAAGAACAAGTGATAAATACCAAAAAGTGCCATACATACCTCATCGGTTCGCAACACAACAAATTGGTCTCTGCTGGTTATATGTGACAACACCTCACTTCAGGGATGGATATAAGTCCAAAATCCTTAATAAAGTAGTCCCCAAAGGCTCTAGACATTGCCAATCTGGGGCATTCCTCATTCGGCAGCCAAATTTTATGCACCACAGGCTTGTCGTTTAAACTGAACACTCTTCCTTTGTACTGATTTATCCATTCAGCCTCATCTGTCAAACAATGTTGATAATGTAAACACAATGTTCATATAATTTTTGAGACACAAAGAAAGTGAGGAAGAGAGAGACTCACGAGGTAAATTGTGGTTGAAATAACAGTCATAATGCAGTAGGGGAGCTCCAAGGAATTAATAGTGAGGAAACAAGTCATAATGACTTTAATATGATGTTATTTTCCTAGCCTTCCGTAAGCATGTAACATGTAAGCCCGTCCATTGTCACATAATCCCATAACCTCCTTGCTTTCACGACCCTCCAGCTGCCAGAAAACTCACACATCTATGATTTTTAAATAACACTCCACATGAGACTCATACGAGGACCCAGGAAAATAATTTCAATACCAAAATAAACCACCAGACGAATAATACAGATTCAACTTAGAATAAGTTACATCATACTTAGAAATGTTTTCTAAATAAGTTAGAAATACTATCACAACATAGTTATACTAATGCAGTAGGGGAGCTCCAAGGAATTAATAGTAATTACAAAATAATTCCATATTTAAGGCCTTAACACCTTACAAAATAACTCCACTAGAATTAGCAATTATATAACTATTCTATCCAGGTATAGGAGCCTTGCACTTTCGACCATTATGACCATTCTCGCCGCATCGCGAACAGTGTAACGACCTTACATTTTGAAATTGTGATTCGATTCGTTTAATACGAGGTCGTCCAGGGGGACGTGTTACCGCAGGAGGCCTAAGATGGGAAGCACCTTCACCGTCAGCAGCAGCAACAGCAGCTGCATTCGGCATATCATGCATGGGGACAGAAGACATGAGATGTTCACATAGTTTTTGTTGTGTTTCAACCCTAAACCATGGATCAACCATCTCATAAATATTTAAAGATAATTCATGGATGGCATAGCATGCATGCGAACAAGGAATCCCACTCATGGTCCACTTCAAACAACTACAAGAATTTTCACTGCCAAATACCACCCTGAATGGTTTTCTGTCTCGATCATATATTGTACACTCAGTAGGCGAAACACGCATCGACTGAAAACCAAGAGCTAACTCTTGCTCTTTTTTTATTTTCTCCTCAATACGATCCCCAACCGGGATAGTCCACTTCTGAACGTCCAAACTCTTTTGGTATAAAAATTTGCTGAGTCTTTGCATGTGTGTATCCATCAACCTTGTGATTGAAAAAACCCTCTCTTCTTTCACCCATGCATTGAAGGACTCTGCTTGATTGGTGTATAATTTATCCCAACGCTTGGAAGTAAACATAGCATTTGACCAATGTTCAGGTGAATTCGCCAAAACCCAATCGCATAACTCCCCTCGAAATACCCGCATGGCAGCCAATGCATTCTTATACTCATCTACAGTTCGAGCATATGCAATTTTATCGAGTAATTTTTTCGCATGCTCTTTACCCGAAGCCCTCAATCCTAAACTTTGTCTCCCAAGAATGGATGTAGAAAAATTCGCCGTTAGGTGACGAAGACACCATGAGTGGTACTGGGAGCCAAAAATATCTCTAATACAACTTATTAGGCTCGGATGCCTGTCGGTTAAGATTGTCACAATGCGACCATCTAGAATCTCTTTCACCTTGCTCAAGAACCAATGCCAATCATCATCATTCTCAGAAGAAACAACAGCATACGCCAAAGGCCACAAGCCATCATTCGCATCGAACCCCGTTGCACCAAGCATTGTTCCTTTATAATTGCCACTCAAGTGGCAAGCATCGATTGCTAACATGGGCCTGCAATAGTTGATGAAACCTCGTATGGAGCACCCATAAGCTACAAACACTCGCTTAAATCTCCTATCATCCGTGCACTCCCACGATGTAATTGTCCCAGGAATATATTCTGCTATTCGTTCACACAACCACGGGACTAAAATATAGCTATCCTTGGGATTTCCCTCAATGATATGACGTGCACACTCCTTAGCTCTCCACGATTGCATGTAAGTCATTTTAGCAGAAAATTCACCGTTTATGTCTGTGGAAATAGTCTTGGGGGTGCATTTAGGATTGTCCCTAACCTTGTTCACAATAGCTCGACCCATTTCCTTCGACCAAAAAATGGCTTTATAATCTGAAATGTCTTGAGCAGTGTGAGTGTGAACATTATTAAACCGCTTGATTCTCACTATATCACCACTTCCTTCACAACCAGCTGATAATTTCCATGGACAATTATTAACCTCGCACACAACTCTATAATATTTTCTACTATTGTCCAAGTACTTGAACCGAAAATGATTACGAAGACCAAACAAAACGAGTGCATCTTTGAAATCATTTGGGCTGTCAAAAAGCTGATCCACGCAAAGAATGTCATCAATGTGTCGGAAAGAATCCCGATGCGCATTTATCGGAGGAAATGAAGACGTTGACGCAACACTTTGTAGAAGACCAATTGGCGATGTGGCTTCAACAAATTGTCTACAAGTGGATAAAAAGGTATATTAAAAATCACATAACCTATGCAGCGCATACATCAATGTATTACTTTAAATATATGTGTCTTACCTCTCACTATGATCAGTAGGAATTGTGCATGATGCAATTACAGGCTCTGCATCTTCCATATACACATTTAGCATGGGACCACTCACTAGAAGCATCACTCTAAATCCAGATTCTCCCGTCATCCTCAAAAGTTCATTCTTGTTAGATTCGGTGGTATAATATATGACTTTACCACTCATGTTTGAAGATGAACGTTGTTGTAACTCATTTATAAATGATTCGTATGTTGTTGTTGTTGTTATCATAAAAGGGTCTGTGACACCGCCGATGTATATAATTTCCCCATTCTCATTTTTGTCAATTTTCCCATCAAATCGACAATAACATATAATTTGTCTCTCATCCATTTGTCCAACTGCTTCGAAAATTGACTCATTAGTTTAAAAAAAAAAACTAAATATGAAGTTCAAAAAAAAATGAAATATAAAACAATTAAATATCATAATTATATAATGTAATTTAGAGATCTATTTACACCGAAACACTACTAATTCCCTCAATAGGGATAGGCGGTGTCAAGATTAAACTTTTCCTAAACACACACTACAGACCTTTTTCAAATCAAAATACAACCACAAAATCAATGCCATTGATTACTAGATAATTGTATCACTATGTGTACAACAAACATATATACAAGATGAGGGAGATTATGAGATGAATAGAGAGTTAAATGGGACAATATAGATTGAAAATAAAAAAATTGAGAGTTAAATAGAGAGAGAGCAGAGTGTTGAATATTTTTCACACACAAATATTATATGTGTAAGTCTTGAAAATGGGGGAGACAAGTACAAGGGAATGTTGGAATAATAAATTAATACTAAATACATTTTTTTTATAAATTAATGCTAAATACATATATTAAAAAAGCCTCATTCATAGAGTTTGCTAGCTTTTGCATAATTCTATCATGTGCGTAGATGCCTAAAGACATATTACACAGAGGTATACTCTACATGCCATTTGAGAAAGAGGCAACAATCTTGAATAATTCTTGATCTAAATTGAGTTATAATAATTAATTATACATAAAAACTAATTGGACTACCTATGTGTTGGTGGCTTTGAATTTTAACTCCTAAATTCCTACGTTCTGCTGAGGATTTAGTCTGCAGTCATCAAAGAGCCTTGAATATATAGCTTGAATACAGATATAGCTGATTTAGTCTGACTCTTTTTGTAGGAAGATACAGATATAGCTGATTTTACATAGATATTATTTTCTAACGGAGTGAATTGATACTACTCATAGCTATCGACCAATATTGTGGTGTGTATTGGTTATAACTGACAATGTGAATTTAAAATTTCAAATGGATATAACCATGGTCAGTATTAATGGTTTTAACTAAATTTTGATATTTCCATTAAAATGGTATCTCTCTTTGATTTTGGATCATGCGTGTGGTTATTAAATTATGTGTTGATTTGTAAGGTTGCTTTCAGATTTGGACAAAAATAAAATGAAAGTCTTGATAGTTTGTTGATGTAATGAGCTTAAAAATTTAAAATTATATGCTTTGAATATATATCTATATCAGTCCATGGCAACTACTGCTTAATGATAAATAAGCCGTGAAACTACTTTGATCATATGGAGCTTATTAGTTGCATCATGATTACTACTAGTTTTGTGTATGTGTTCCATTATGTACTAGTTAATGTGTGGTATTTAGGCTTATGGCCAGTGTGTGTGTGTTAAAATCATGTATAAACATACATATATATGACAAAGTCGTGTTATGTTTAAATATTTCAGCCTAACTCTTGTAAAAATTAGAACAAATTCATGTTGGTTTGGATGACTCCTAAAGGTTTTTTGTTTGGAAGGTTAAACAAGTATTATTATACCATTTCTCTCATTCCTTCTCTTTCTCCTTCCAAATCGAGGTACGTTAGGGTTTTCTCTCCCCTAATGGCACACGTGTTCTATGGACCTGTATTAGAGTATAGTTCACACTATGATTCTTAAGATTGATGTGCTTATTGACGGTCCAGTGCTGTTTCAATCTCCTCCTAACAGCACTTAACATAATCATAAACTAGATTTAGCTCAGCCATTTTGTCTTGAAGTTTTTCCTCAATCTCATTGGGAAGCTATTCATGTAGTGGCTGAAATATGTTTGTTTTTTTATGATCCAAACACACTCAAACAAACAAGAACAGTGACCAATAGCTAGCCGCAGAAGTTACAATAGGTGTAGCTAGCCTATGACAAGTGTGTTTGTGTTAAAATCTAGGTCATACAATTCTTTTTAACAGGTGTAAATCTAGCTCCCATTCTCACGATTTGTTTGTAATTTAATTTTGTTGCTTTTGCGCTCTATCTACCACTTTATGCGACTTAGTATAAAACCAAATATAAATATTAACTTACTGAATTTTTCTGTTACTATCAAATACCATTAAAGCAAAATTACAAAATTAGACCCTCCCTCACAAGAAACAAAATTTTAAGAATTTATTAATCACTCTAATCGATTGCAATAGGCTGCCAACATAGTTAATTGAGAGTCGATAATTCAAAGAGCATTTCATTTTATTTTTGTCCAAAGCTGAAAGCAACCTTACAAATCAACACATAATTTCATAATCACACACATGATCCAAAATCAAAGAGAGATACCATTTTAATGGAAATATAAAAAAATAAGATGTTTGGATACAATTGAAAATCAAAAAATAAAAGTACATGAAGCACCAGATTTAAAATTAGATTCCTCATAAGTACAAATAATTCTTTGAGACTACGCTTTCATGAGTACAAATAATTCTTTGGGAGCTCCGAGAATTAGTGGGGTAAAACCATGTATATCTCGATTGCGAGAAATATATATAATGCAGCTAAAAGAGCATAGGCAGATTTAATAAGGCAATCCCCACAAAAATCTATAAACTCTACCATGTTTGAAGGCTTTTCTCTTAAAACAGACTTTAGTAGTACTACACTTATCTGTTTCCCATTGAAAACTTTAAATCACCCATTAGCTGTTTTGATTTTGATTTTGATTTTGATTTTGATTCCTTTCCTAGTGCAAAGACATGTAGTATCCGTATTCACCTTCACATAAAGGTGGTGTCTTTGGTTTGATTGTAGTGCCAGAGTTTTGGACCAAAAAAATCAGATCCACCTCAAAGAGAGAGAGAGAGCTCTCTCATGTAGCCTTTTCAAAACAGAGCAAAATACAAAGAAATATTGTCAGTGTTCCCTCAACCTCTTCACTCCTCATTTATGAAACCTGTCTTTCTTTATTTATTTGACATCAAAGCTCTATCAAGTGAAATTCTCAACTCAACTCACAATATTATATATATATATATATATATATATATATATATATATATATATATATAATATGTTTTTGGAGTAAGTGTTGTGATTCTGTACACAATAGGAGATTATTTATTATCTATTATTAGAAAATCGAACAGATAAAATGAGAAACTTTGGGAATACCCCCCCTAAGGTAGTGTGTTTAATTGTGGCATTCATATTAAGTCATCAATTTAATATGTATGTTCCACAATATATTTATATATATGCACGGGTGTAGAATATATTAGATAAAAAAGTAGTGTTACTCTTCAATTTATACAAAAAGTAATGTTACTCTTCAATTTAGTTCTAACTTCTATTTCTACTTTGATTCCAAATAATGCAAAGAGGTGTCATATTCTGATCTGGTATAGAGAATGCTACTCAAAACCTAATTCTCAGAAAGCTTAATTTCTCTATTAAGCTCTCCTCTTTGCACTTCTTCAGCTCTCACGGCTGTTGGGGAAGTTCTTAAAAAATCGGCAAACTCTCTCTCATCTCCCAGAGAAATGCTGCCCAGAATTGACGAGAGTGGCAGGTTTTGCAGCCCCAGAGCCGCCAGAGAGATCACCTTCTATGTCCCCCTCTTACCAATTTTTGTTTTTCTGTGTGTGTATATATATAGAAAGTTCGGGCTATTTGTTTTGGTTCTTTGATGGGTTGAAAATTGCTTGAATTTCAATGTCAGGATAATTATTTATGCGGCGTGTTTGGAGGGTTATGACCCAATTCGGCTATTCAAGAAGAGAATCAACGCCCGAAGAGGTATTAGTATTACCAATGCTATGTCTTGTTTTATGACAATATGTTTATCTTCGGAGGAGTTTTTCTGCATCCCTTTTGATAAAACTGAATAAGTACTTAATTTATTTATTTATTATTATTTATATAACTGGTGTTTAGATAACTACCTACTGCTTTATATTTTCTCTTTTTCATCTCGTTAGAAACTAAATAACTTCCAAAGCATCAGTCTTGGACAGAATTTTGATCGAAATTTACTTCTTTCTTTCATTCTCTCTTTCTTTTCCCGTAAATACAATTTAGACGTAAAGGTCATATAACAGTTTTCCCATTATTGTTCGTGTCTTGTATTTTCAACTGAATTTGGGCTTAGGTATAAAGCAGCTTGCACTCTTCACCGGTTGGGGGGGGGGGGGGGGGGGGCGCGGGGGGAACTTGTAAGCATATCTAGAAATTTGTTGTTTAAAACCATTCAAATTTCATGAACAGATGGTGAAGAAATCTTTTCCATTTCTGGTCATTGCATGGCAATATCTTAGACTAAATTTTTTAATCGTTTAAAAATGTTAACATATTCAATCAGTCTACTAAAAAGAATTATTTATCTAATTTATTTAAATGTTGGTAATTATCAGACACCAAGGCCATCACTGACATGCTCTAAAATGCTATGTTTCCCTAGTGAAAACATTTACCAAAGACTTCCAACCTTGTAAGCTAAGGCACAAATCATAGCATAACCATGAAGATTTGTTACTTCATCTATAAGGCACAAACAGAGTAGCTTCTTCCCTTTTGTTTTATATTGAGAACTAAAATCTTTATTAGTGATTCTTAACACCCAAGATATTAATCATGAAATTATTATAAAGCATTTTCATTTAATTGAACCAAACTCAAATTTTATATTTAATTACATTTCAACCACTAAACCACAACAAATATAGTATGTATGAAAAACTTGTTTTTAATTTAATATTGTAGAACCAATACTAGTAATCTTAAACAATTCTTTTACTAAGCAAATGCAAATGGGAATGTAGATTTCACAAACATTTGATAACAAGTGTCCCTACCCAAAGACTATCACATGCATGCCTCTTTACAGTTTACATTCATTGATTGTATCATAAGGTCTCCAGAGCAAATGACTTATGAAGATAGGATTTAAGCTTGTTACCTTGGCACAAGCTAGTTAGCTAACTAGTGAAATCCAACAAAAAGCCTGTAGGCACCACACGTACTGCCACTTGCTTCCACATGGTCCTAGTAAATTTAAAGAAC